TACATATTTTGGCTATCTGGTATAGGCTGTTGCTCTTAGGCCACAAACATATATAACATGTTACTATACTGAATACTGTTGGCAATTGTAACACAATGGTAAATAATTGTATATCTAAACATAGAAAAAGTACAGTAAAAATATGGCATTATAAGCTTATGAGACCACCATTGTATATGCAGTTCATCATTGACTGAAATGTTTTCTGGTACATGACTGTATATGTAATTTATCAAATTAATTTATCATATTGGAGTCAATTATTTTGTTAGTTAGAATGAAGTCTAGAACTCTTATCTCCCTTTACATTTCTTTATCCTCCCCTATTTATAATTAATTGTCTTCAATATTTTATCTACATTTGTACACCACATTGGACAGTTTTATGATTATTGTTTTAACTGTCAAACATAATTTAGAACCCTCAAAAGGAGAAGAGAAGCTGATTGCATTTAACAATATTTTTGCTCTTACTGTGTTCTTTATTTTGTTCTGATATTTCAAGTTGTTTTTTCTTTAAAAATCACTTCCTTTCTGTTTAGACATAGCTGCTCTTTTGCACTAGTCTGCTGTCAATAAATGTCTAGTTTCCCCTCATCAGAGATTATCTTGATTTCTCTTTCATTCTTGAAGAACAGTTTTGTTGGATATATAATTCTGCGTTGACAGTCTTTCTCTTTCAGTGCTCAAAAGATGATGTGCCACTGCCTTCTGGTCTCCATGGTTTCACTGTTATTCAAATTATTTTTCCCCTATAAGTAATACATTCTTTTTCTCTGGCTGCTTTCAAAATGTTTTGTCTTTAATTTTCAGAAGTTTACTTTGATGTGTCTTTGTCTAGATTTTGACAAGTTTATTCTGTTTGAGATTTACTTAGCTTCTTGAACCCTAGGGTTGGCCCCCCCCCCCAACTTGGGAAATTTTGAGCTATAATTTCTTAAATCCCCTTTCAGCCTTGTCTTCTTTTCTCTCTCTTTTTGGAACTCCAATGACATAAATATTAGATTGTTTTGTTGTTGTTGTTGTTGTTCTTGTTTGTTTAGTTCCACAGGCTCCTAAAGCTCTGTCTTTTCTTCAGTGTTCTATGTTGTTCACATTGGGTACTTTCTGTTTTTCTATGTTCAACTTCACTAATTCTTTCCTTTCTTCCTTCTATTCTACTGTTAAGCCTATCGCTGAGCTTTTAATTTGGGTTATTATAATTTTCACTTCCACTTTCCACTTAGTTCTGCTTTATATCTTCTGTTTCTTTGATGAGATTTTTTATTTTTCACATTTGTTTCAACTGTATCCATAATTGCTCACTGACTGCCAGTGAATGAATTTAAAATTTTTTTATTTTTTTAAATTATTGTTTAATCTATAAATCTAATATCTATCATCTCATTGCTGGTGTTTGTTAAATGTCTTTTACATTCAAGTTAAGATTTTCCTGGTTCTTGGTGTACTGAGTAACTTGCAGTTGAAATCAGGACATTTTGAATGTTATGCTATGATTCTCTGGATTTCATTTAAACATTCTGTTTTATTTTGCTTCCTCTGACAATGTGCCATACAGAGCAAGGGTGGGATACTACCTCCTTACTTCCTTGTAAGGGTAAAACTCCGGGTTCTGCAAGAGTGGGAGGGGGCTACTCTTTCTATGGGGCAGGATGACTCTCCCAAGCCCCACAAACACTACCCTGGCTGGAAGGAGGAGGGGCACCTTGTTACTGTTCCTCCTGTGGTCCCCACAGATACTATGGGGGGTATGGGGTGGAGTGGGGGAGAAGAGATGGTCTCATTGCCACTGAGAGATTATGGAAGTCTTGGCTTTCAGGACTCTGACACCACCCTCTACACCCCAATAAAGGGGAGATAAAAGGGAGGGATGACTCTCAATTGCTGCATGGGGTGGAGGTCCAGGCTCCGCACATGGTCTCCAGAGATACCTTGATGAGGAACTCCCAGTGAGGACAGAAGTCCTGGCTCCTCAATTGGTCCTCTCTGACACCATCCTGTACAGAGAGTTGGAACACATCATGACAGCCCTCATGAGAATGTGAGTGTTTTCTGTCTCACTGTTGACTAGGCTGCCCTTTTCCTGAATCTTTGGCTCAAGAGAGTAGGCTTTTTTTAAATTGATATTTCCTGGTTAATATCTTCCCCACAATTCATTCTGGGATATATGAGGTAAAAACTCAAGGAAAATCACTACCATCTTGTTTCTTGTGTCCTGTGGTCCCAAGCCACTCTTCTATCTTTCCACTTTTCAGCACCTTACGTTTGTTTTATATAAAATGTTAAAAAAAAAAAAGAAAAAAAGGTTTAGGATACTTAGAGGAAAGAATAGGAAACTAAATGTCTACTCTATGTTTCTAGAGTGTCTGAAGTATTTAATCTTTAAAAGGATACAATGTAATTAGGCCTTTGTTGCTTTTTTTAATCTTGGAATTGTTTAGGTAAAGAAAAGGAAGCTGCCTTCTAATAACTGATGTGAGATAAAGCTGAATGAATAAGGGTCAGATTCTAGTAAGAATTTTATATTTGACCCTAAGTGTCCTAAAGAGCACATCCTTGTGCAGGATAGTAGGTTGGTGGTACTTGATATCCAGGTTGTACCCTCGACCATCTGAATCTTAAGCTCAGAGGACAGGATCTAGGCATTTCTCTGTATGTATATTCGTACGTATGTTATGGATGTATATAGGTATTGATTGATTGATTGACAGTGTCTCACTGTGTCACTTAGGCTAGAGTACAGTGATGCGATCATAGCTCAGTGGAGCTTTGAACTCCTGTGCTCAAGTGAACCTTCCTCCTCAGCCACCTGGGACTACAGTTGCATGCCACCACTCCTGGCTAATTGTTTTTAGAAATGGGGCCTTACTATGTTGCCCAGGTTGGTTTTGAACTCCTGGCCTCAAGCAACCCTCCCGCTTTGGCCTTCCAAAGTGCAGGGATTACAGGCATGAGCCACCTACCCATCCAAGTTTTTTTTTTTTAAGTTCTCTAGATGATTCCAATGTGTAGCCAAGATTGAGAATCACTAGCCTAGGGCAATGGTTCTAACATTTACCTGATTATGAAAACACTTGGGATGTGTGTCCATTCAGGTTCTCTGGGAAGCAACATCAAGATGGAATTAGAAGTGCAAGAGATTTACTGAGGGAAATCCTTAAGAAGGATGGGGGGTGGCCTTCAGGCTGCACTGCCAGCTTTACACCTATGAAAGGAGGAAGGTGGATTGGGTGGAAAGAGCCCTGGTCTGCAGTACAGCTCTGAAAACATCTCACCTGGTGTGATGGGGAGCCTCAGAGCAGGGAGGAATCCCATGTCAGGCAGCACTGGCTCAACTCCAGTAGCACTGCCTATTCTTGGGGAGAGTGTGGCTTCAACAGGAATGGGGAGAGCAGGATCCTACAGGTGTGGCAGCCGGAGACTGCCAGCTCGCAGCTCTTGAAGGAGAGCTAAGCGACTTGTGCTTCTGTGCTTGTTTTAAAAACCAGATTCTAAAGTCACTCCGCTGAGATTTATAGTTAATTTATGTCAGAGATGGAGCCCCAGGACCTGTACTTTAACAGGTACTCCTAGACAACTCTTATCATTGTTCAAATTTGTGAAGTGTCGAGGACAGTTGCTGAGACTATTAGTGACAAAGCAAGGAATGGTCTTCACATTTCAGACTCCCTTGGTGTAGTGGTTGTATAGATGGATTTTCAGTTAAGGTAGTTGGAACATAATAGCTAACTGGGCAGGAACCTAACTAGTGATTTTAAGAGGAAATATGAAGAAACTGACTTTCTATTCTTTTCAGTGTGATATGCAAACAGTGTACATTCTATTACTTTTATTGTATGAGTAACTATAACTAGTTTGACATGAAAGCGAGAATATGTGGTATGTGGTATTTATTTGTACAGGATTCATTGTAACCAGAACATCATAACAGTGTAACTAGGAGCCCAGTACTGACACATGGTTGTATGCTATTATACAAAACCTTTCTTTGGTTTGCATTTCTAGGAGTGTTAATTATTCCCGGTGAGGTTGAAAAGCAGTTTACACAGTTTTTCTATTTGTTGCCCATTTGGTGTGCTCTATGGAGGATTTACAATATATAAAACTACTGACCGAGTATCCCTTATCCAAAATGCTTGGGACTAGAGGTATTTCAGATTTTGAATTTTTAAAAAAATTTTGGAATATTTGCATATGTATAATGAGATATCTTGGGGATAGGATCAAAATCTAAACAGGAAATTCATTTATGTTTCACATATACTTCCATACACATAGCCTGAAGTTAATTTTATACCATATTTTAAATAATTGTGTTCATCAAAGTTTTGACTGTGACCTGTCACATGTCAAGTGTAGAATTTTCCACTTATGGCATCAGGAACCATTACCCTAGGCTAGTGATTCTCAATCTTGGCTACACGTTGGAATCATCTAGAGAACTTTAAAAAATATTTGGCTGGGTATGGTGACTCATGCCACTTGTGGCATCATCAAAAAGTTTGGGATTTTGTAGCATTTCAGACTTCGAATTTTCAGATTAGGGATACTCAACCTGTACTAACTTTTGAATGCTTATCTTTCAATATGCTAGTAAGTGCTTTGTATGTATCAACACTCTATGAGATAGATACTATTGCCAGGAAATGGAAGCTTAGAGAAGTTAAACTATATGTTCACAAAGAGAACAGAATTAGTGATTGGCAGCTTTAAATCAGGCCTCAAGTTTAATAGTCTTTGTCTCTGTGAAAGGGAAGAACTATGTAGATCCTAGGTATTTATTGATTCATGATTGTCGTGACTTGTGCTATGATAAGGATTCAAAAGTGGATGATGATGTTTCCCTCTTCCAAAGAATTTACATTATCTAAAGGGGTGGGAAAGGGGCCTCAGTCATGGAAACAAATTCTCTCAATGCATATGATTATTTCTTGATATAACAATTATAGTTTAATCTGTACAGTTTTATGTTATAAAAACAATTTCATTTTAAGCCACAGGTTTGAGAGAGAAGATCTGATCACCTGGAATTAGTGTCGGTACAGAAATCATTTCAACTCCAAAAATGTTGGAGGAAGATATGGAAGTGGCCATCAAGATGGTGGTTGTAGGGAATGGAGCAGTTGGAAAATCAAGTATGATTCAGCGATACTGCAAAGGCATTTTTACAAAAGACTACAAGAAAACCATTGGAGTTGACTTTTTGGAGCGACAGATTCAGTATGTACTTGGCCATTTTATCCCTCTAGTTTTGATTTGTGAACTGTATCCAAGGCTTTGATTGAAATAATGGTAACTAGTTATGGTATAGTTCAAGATTAGGCAGCCAGTGGCTGTGGTTATGTGAAGTGATGACTCATTACCACATGTATCTTTATCTTTCTTCTGTTTTTTTCTTTTGTCTCTTTTCCTTTCCTCTCTCATTTGTTTTTGTTTTTTTGTTTTTTTTTTTGAGTTGGAGTCTCACTCCGTCGCCCAGACTGGAGTGCAGTGGCTGCTCCTGGCCACCGCAGCCTCGACCGGCTGGGTTCCAGCGATCCTTCCGTCTCAGCCTTCCAAGTAGCTGGAACTACAGGCACACGCTACCACACCTGGTTCATTTTTTGATTTATTGTAGAGATGAGGTCTCGCCAATTTGCCCAGGTGGGTCTCAAACCAGCGGGCTCAGGCAATCCACTTACCTCGGCCTCCCAAAGCGCAGGATTACAGGCTGAGCCACCGAGCCCAGCCTCTTCTCTCATTTTTTAAAAATTTTTTCTTCTACTCCCCTTTCCACTTTTTTTCCTATCTCATGTTTGTTTTATATTTATTGGTGACACCCAGGGCACTTCTTAAACACATACTGATGGTTGACCCTAGTGAGAGTTCTTATTGTTATTTTATTTGGAATGAAAGTTACCCATCTCTCAGAAGTTTTTATCTTTTTATATTATGGGTGCCTTTTGTTTAGAATGTCTCTTCTCTTTTTTAAATTGGGCATGACTGTATAGAAGTTGGAGAATTGTTTTTATGCTAAAGAAATGAGAAAAAAACAGATTTGGGAGAATGTATAAAAAGGAAATAAATTTGGCTTCTAAAACACATCAGAGTAATACTTTTTGTCATTAGTCTTGAGAACTTTTTTTTTGAGTAGGAATTTCACTCTCACCCAGGTTGGAGTGCAGTGGCATGCTCAAGGCCACCACACCCTCAACCTGCTGGGCTCAGGTGATCCTTCCACCTCAGCCTTCCAAGTAGCTGAAACTACAGGTGCGTGCCACCACACTTGGCTAATCTTTTTGATTTGTTGTAGAGAAGAGGTCTCACCACGTTACCCAGACTGTTCTCGAATCCCTGGGCTCAGGTAATCCTCTCGCCTCTGCCTCCCAAAGTATTGGGATTACAGGCATGAGCCAGTGAGCCTGGCTTTCCTGGTAACTTTTAAGGATATTTCAAATTGTAGGAGGTAAAACTGTGTTACCAGAATAAGAAACATTAAACAAATCTGACTTACTGGCCCAACTTTAACATCAAAGATAATTATGTTCATCATTTTAAAGACTGTTTTATTTCTAAGCTGTATTCTATTACCTTCTCTTTTATTCCATATTTGCTTCCTTTCTTACAAAATAACTTAAGAACAATCATTTTTTTTCTTTTTATTTTTTTTCATTTATTTATTTTGAGTTGGAGTCTCACTCTGTCACTCAGGCTGGAGTGCAGTGGCACGCTCACGGCCACCCCAGCATCGACCTGCTGGACTCCAGTGATCCTTCCGCCTCAGCCTTCCAAGTAGCCAGAACTACAGGCACAGCTTACCATGCCCAGCTAATTTTTGATTTTATTGTAGAGACAAGGTCTTGCCAAGTTGCTTGGGCTGATCTCGAACTCGCAGGCTCAGGCAGTCTACTCACCTCGGCCTCCCAAAGTGCTGAGATTACAGGCTAAGCCACTGAGCCAGGCCAAGAGCAATTATTTTAAACCTTGATGTTTGCTTTTTGCACTTACTGCCTGAAACCAATAAATATTTTAAGTAGGTGGTTGTTGCTCATTATTCATAGATTCCATATTTGCAAATTCACCTACTTGCTAGAATTTATTTGTAACCCCAGAACCTGTACTCATCATGCCTTTGTGGTCATTTGTGAACCTGCACAGAGTAGCAAAAAATGTAAGTTACCCAACATACACTTTCCCAGCAGAGGTTGTCAAATAAGGCTACTCTTGTTTCAGGTCTCACATAGTAAACACGTGTCTTTTTTGTGTTCTGTTTAGTGCCACATTTTAAAAACTGTGTGCTTCTTGCTGGTGATTTTGCTGTTTAGAAAGGCCCCTTCTTGTAGTGCTGAAGTGCTGTTTAGTGTTCTTAAGTGCAGGAAGGCTGCAATGTGCCTTATGGGGAAAGTAGATATGTTAGAGAGCTTTGCTGAGACACAAGTTATAGTGCTGATGGTCTCTAGTGCTGTTGGTCATAAGTTCAGTGATAATGAATTAACAATATATATCAGTAAGGTGTCTTTAAATAGAAACATATGTATTGATCATTTGTTGAAAATATAACTGAGGTTCTAAGGAACCTAACCTTGTATTTCCCCTAGGAACAGTGGTTCAGTATTTGCTAATTCAGCATTCACAGTGACATTATAGAACATAACTACTGTGAATAATGAGAATTGACTGACAAAATAAATTTTAAGTGAAAGGGCAACCAAGCAGGTAAACTGCTTTTTTGCCTTCTTACTCTCATTTTACGATTAAGGCATCAGAACCCATTCGAATGATGAAAGGAGAGGAGAGCAAGCACTGACCTAAAGGAATTCCCTCTTTGGTACTGCTAGTTTTAGAGCCTTCACTCTCTGTGACTGCTATCAAAGAAAAGCACTTGGCAGGTAAATCCAAATCATATGTAAAGCCACAGCTTTGGGGGAATGTTTTTCATCCTTTAGTTTCACTGTTGGTAATGGTGTCGACATCTGCAAATACACAGAATTTTTCAGAGTGAAACCAACAATATACAAGTGGTCCCTGACTTACGATAGTTTGATTTAACAATTTTTCAACTTCACAGTGGATATATCAGGACATAGCCCTATCATAAGTTTAGAAACATTTGGATTTATGATAGTTCAACTTATGATTTTTTGACTTTACAATGAGTTTATTGGGATATTATGTGTATTTTTGACATTCAATGAGTTTATAGGGACATAACCCCTGATGGGTTTATTGAGACATAACTCCATCATAAGTCAAGAGCATCTGTAGTTTTGAAAATAAAAATATACACAAAACTATATCATCAAAAACATTTTCCTTTAAGTGTGAAATAAAGTTATCTCTTGTTTTAGAGTTAATGATGAAGATGTCAGACTAATGTTATGGGACACCGCAGGTCAAGAAGAATTTGATGCAATTACAAAAGCCTACTATCGAGGTAAAATGTGGGATTTATTTATTTTGTTTGGGCAAGTAAAGGACTGTGCTTTCTTTGTTTTTCATATAAAGGTTTTTCTTTGGCTAAGTAAAGGACTGTGCTTTCTTTGTTTTTCATATAAAGGTTTTTCTTTAAAAATAGTTAAAATAATTTCAAAGTATTTTTTAAACCCCAGTTTATTATTCTTCTGAAGATTTTGTATTACATTTGGTAATGTAGATGGTTTGAGTCTGTCAGAAACTGGTAAATGCCTACTCTGACCCACAAGAAAATGACTATATAGTCAGATTGGAAACTAACACGAAAAAGTGAAGCCCCTACAACAAGATGGCATGTTGTCATGACACACAGAGCCTTTTTTGGTGCTGTACAAGTTCAGGGAAGTGTGAGATATGAGTGAGAGCAAGGAGTCATGATTGCAGAATGGAAGGCTTTAAAATGTGGACGTAAATTTCTTAAGAAAAGACTGTATTAAACTTCCAAATGGAACTTAAAGTTTTCTTTAACATTTTCCTGTAAAATTTTGTCCTTTTCTTTTGGAATTTAAAACACTATTTTCAGTGTTCCTCTAACTCACTGCAGTGACAATTGAAATGAGGAAACGAAGTAACTGAAAGCTTGATCTAGTACCATGTAACATTATAGCCTATTGATGCCAAGTAAGTATTAATTGATAATTCATATTGACAAATATTTAATACTCTGCATTTCCCAGATGCTCTGGGACATAGAAAGGCATAGTTGACATACTGATTATCCCTTCTTGACATTCCTTTTTTCAGAACTTTTTCCCTTCCTGTTGTAACTAAAACTTCATTGCTTGCTAAAGGCACAACTTCTCCTGCCGCCTTCACTAGTGGAAGCTTTTCCCTAAATCCCTGCATGCTCACATTCCTCAAGACCTGAAGGATGTCGGGCAGAGTTCTTTGTTTCTCATTGCTGCTTTCAAATCATTCCTCTTCTTCTCTCCTTCCAAAATATCTTGGCACCTTGAAAGTTCAGGTCATGAGCCTTCTACCTTCCAGAACATCCCAGCTGCTGTGGTCCATCTATTTAAGCGGTGTCCAACCTTTTGGCTTCCCTGGGCTGTATCAAGTAACCTTTTGGCTTCTCTGGGCCACAAAGAGTAAAGAGGAATTGTCTTGGGCCATACATAAATTATATAATATAATTTGTGTGTGTGTGTGTGTGTGTGTGTGTATGTATAACATAAGACTTTTTAAAAATATTTTTATTATAATGTTTGGAAAAATGAGAACAATACAAAACTAGTGGGAAGTTCAACCTTGTTATTTTAAAACTGATCTATCAATGTCTGGTTTGATGGAAGTGGTCGCACTTCCTAGTGAGTTCTCAAGGTGCTCGTCAATAATATTTGTCCAAATTTTGTTCTTCATGTGCTTCATAATTGAAAACAGCTGCTCACAAATTTATGTGCTGCCAAAAAGTGATGTCATGAATAAGGCATGATTGTGTACTTCAAAAGTAGAACTATGCATGAAGAAAATAAATGCTAGAAAACACATGATCTTAAAAAAATTTTTTAACATATATCTCCATATATATTTCATGTCTTTATTTGCTTTTTCATGCAATTTGAATGGAAAACTTCAAGGAAACACACATTTTTTAAAAATTTGTGCTGGCATAAGTTTGTCTTGTATAATCACCTGCAATCTCTTTATATCCCCTGAGAGAGGGGTCATCCATATGGTTTGCTAGACTTACAATGTCCCCTCAGAGGGGACATCCAGGCTAAATATCTTTTTTTCTTTCTCTCTAAATCTTCTATTTGATATCATAAAACTTAAAATATATTCTCTTAGTAAAATGATAACAGTTGAATACTAAACAGTCCTAAAGACCAAATGATATGGAAGCAGTAATAAATTATTTGTTAAAATCTCTTTAAGCATTCTACCTTAAAAGATACAGCTTTAATGAAACTGAAATAATAGTATATACAATGGAAATTCTTCTGACTTACTCATGGAAGTCTTAACTTCTTTAATATGATACTTTATATAACTTGAGAGGGAATGTATGTTAGTGTGTCCTGAAAAGCAGTACTTAAAATAGAGTAGGTATATTGAATAGCAGTGTATCAGTATACTTCTCTTCTCTTGAAGAAATGATATATGAATATATGAAAGTATATGGAATTCATTTGGAATGTATGAAAATTCCAGGTGACAGTGTTAATGAATTTTTGGGTACAGTTTGATATAAACACATAAACTTTCTAACTTTTTTTTTAAGAAAATCATAGCCGGGCTCAGTGGCTCAGCCTGTAATCCTTTGGGAGGCTGAGGTGAGAGGATTGCTTGAGCCCGCGGGTTCAAGACCCGCCTGGGCAGCGAGACCTCGTCTCTACAATAAATCAAAAAATCAGCCAGGCGTGGTAGTGCGTGCCTGTAATTCCAGCTACTCGGAAGGCTGAGGCGGAAGGATCGCCGGAGCCCAGCAGGTCGAGGCTGCGGTGGCCGGGAGTGGCCACTGCACTCCAGTCTGGGTGACAGAGTGAGACTCCAACTCAAAAAAAAAAAGAAAAATCATTTTGTATTACTGCTGTATTTTAGATAGCAACTCAGAGCAAATTCTGGAAGCAAGAGCCACCTGCACAAAAATTATGTGAGGTGACTGTTAAAATATAGGTTGTTTAGATCACTGGGTCCTATCCTAGAGCTAGTGAATGGAACAGAAGATGAAGTTGGGAATCTGCATTTTCAACAGATTTCTCAAATGATGTTGATGCATACCAAAGGGTAAGAGCCTCTGGGAAGACACCAGAAGTGGGGAGACTAATTAAGAAGTTTGTAATCATGCTGGCAAACATGTGATAAAAGTTGTTGCTCTGTGATCATGGCAAAGAAGGAGAGGAACATACTTGAGAATCATTTCAGAGGTGGATTTTAGATTTGGATTTCACCAACTGGTAGCATTCAGATTGGCTCAAGTTTAGCCAGCTTATGAGTGAGTATGGCATTACCACTTTTAGGAATGGTTCTCAGTGCAAATTTCCTCATGTCCTTTGTTGACTAACTGGGAACATTGCACTTCCATCAAACTAAGTCAGCCTTTTACTGACAGAATGAAACTTTCCAACTTTTAAATAGGATTTCCCACTGATTTTTGTTGAAGTGGCTTGCTATTTTACTGTATTGTAAATTTATATCTATTATATGAAACATATATACTTGTGAAATATGATAAGTTCGGATAACTCAAATCTTATTTTTTCCACTTTGAAAATGTAGGATTTATTATAATAATGGCAATGAAGGCCTAATAAAAAACATAATTGCACTAACATATAAATGACCAGAAAAGTTGCCTCTCTAAATTGGTACCAAGGAAGCTTGAATTTCACTACTGCTCTCAGAAAACATTTTGATTTCTTGAGAAGTAAGAGTGGTACACCTCTCAGGTATTCTTCCAGTGCCACGCAGCTTACCACTCACACTATGTACTGTGGACTTCAAGGTGTCCCACCCCCAGTAGCTTTGGTGATTTTCTGTGGCTTCAGGTCATGGGATCTGGAGCACCTGTGTCATGGTATAAGGTTGGGAATTATGTTCTTCTTACCCCAGGATCTTCTTGGAGTAGATGGTATTTTTTGTTAAATTGTGAACTTCTTCAACCTCAGCACTGTTGATTAACAGGTTCTAAATGTGCAGTTTTATTCTCAAGTAAGGGTTATTTGCCTTTTCTAATGGAGTTATTATCACCACCTTCCCCCATAAACTCAGGAAAATTAAAAGTAAAACCTAGGTGGAATCACAAAAAGTAGTAGGATTACTTGAGATTTTCATTATTTTCTTTTTAATCTACTTAGCTTTGTTCTTTAAATTCTCTGCATGAAATGTATGTTCTTATTTTGTGAGAAAAAGACAGGTTGGGACTGTTTCTTTTTAAGATTTTGACAATTTGAATGGCAGTTTTACTTTTTAACCAGGAGGGTTATTTTTGGAGAATCTATTTGCCATAATAGATTCTCATAAGTATCTATAACTTAAAAAGGCAAAACTATAGTTATCCCAAAATAAAAAGTTTAATTTCCCACTGTAGTCGAGGTATTGTTGGTCCTTTCTCTACTTTTTACCATAAGACTGCGTCCAAGATTATTACTTTTTAATTTTTGTTATTTGGGTCATCTTATTTGTTGTGTACTTGTTATAAGTTAGTGCTTTTAATGTCTTCACAAATCTACCATTTATCTTTAATAAGTCTGCAAAAACCATTCTTTGCCAGAAACTAAAAAAAAAAAAAAAAGCCCATAATTATTAGTATTTACATTTTTAATTTACTTTGAGTGTGTTTAAATTACTTCCCACTGTGTTTCATTTGGACTAAAAGGTTTTAAATAGCTTTGCTTTCCTGTATTTAATATTTTAACTTAAAGTAGCCTCAAGTGTATAAATAGATGTCTATTAAAGGTTTGTCCTAATAATGTAACTAACTTTTTTTAGTCAAAGTTTAAAATGGCCAAGAGGGTAGGATACTGAGACAGCTCTTCAGTTTCAGTTTATTTTTCTAAATAGTAAAAGTAAACACCACAACACAGTATGAACTAATATTATGAACAATATGAACTAAGAAATAATAGCAATTATACATAAATTTGAAAAATGGTAGCTTGAACATTCTTTTATGTTTTCCTTTGGAGTTCCACCAGAATGCTTTAGGTTGCTGACAACAGAAAAGCAATTTCCAACAGGCTTAAACTACAAAGAAGGTGTACTGATTTAATAGAAAAGTCCAGAAGTAGCATACCTCTTAGCTGTGGCTTGTTCAGGTTGTAGCCTTACCGACTCTCTTGACCTGTCTCATCCCTGTGTGGACTGCCACATGCTGATTTTCCTTTTGTTTGCCAGATTGCTCCCAGAAGCCATGAAAGCCACATGCTATGTTATCCTCTGGGGAGAGGGGGCTACTTCCCACAACAGTGGCTCAAAAGTCCTGAGGTTTTTCTCTGATTAGACCACCCTTGACTTATTGTA